ATAAGATGAATTAATACTATGACTGTAAAAATATATTGAAGACGATGAGGATGGCACAAAATAGGGCAAGGTTCAGATCCTGAGTCACAATTTACTGGAAAGCATGTAACAACATTAAACAAATGTCATTAATGCCCCAAACAAAAGCAGAATGAGAAAGATACATTCCTCGCTTCCCAAGTGAGCCATCCTTAATAATTCCACTGATTCCTGTTTAACCTGCGAACAGCGGCCCAAGCAGAAGAAACCAAATCAGATGAGCATTCTCTCCAAGTCTATATCCCTGAGAGCAAGCTGACAAGTGAAAATCAGCCCTGATGGACCTATTATATATACCTCAGGAAACAGAAAACACACACACACCAAAAAAACCCACACAACCAAAAACACAACCCCCAAATATATACATAAGAAAACAGTGCCCTACTCCTAGCTGAGAGCCAGCTGTTCATAGTTATAGACAATTCAACGGTACCTCACAACAATAGCTACTATTCGTCGAGTCGCAGGCAACTCATAGTGACCCTATGAAGGAAAGTCCTCAACACTTGTGTGTCTTTCATCCTCTCTCTAAGTTCATAGGGTTTCCGGAGGCAAGCTATTATGGAAGTGAATGCCACTTCTGCTTCCAAGCTAGTTTTAATCTGGGAGCTCCATCCAACACTGTCTGCCACAGGTAACCAACCATTAATGCATTTGACACATCAGTGTCACAGTGTTCGGCCTCACAGCAACCACAAGTTACTGCTGCATGGCAAGTGGACACACCAGGGCTATATGACCTAAAGGAATGTTTGAACAAAACCCATGAAAGACAGGCCCAAGGGCCCTTCTGTATCTTACCATTCCAGCACATCCAAATGCTGGCAAACTCTGGGCCAGAGAACCCCCCAGTTCATCTGGCAAGTCCACTCTGCCAACCCCCACTTGGGGTGAAAAGAGCACCACAAGCATCCGGAGCCCTCCATACCTGCCACTCCTCAAGAAGCCAGAGGCCGAGTGCATCTAAATTCCAAAATCAATCTCCATAATAGTCTATGTGTTTCCTACTGCCAAAGGGGCCCTTTAGA